GGGACAAGCTTGGAAGCTTTTCTTCTAATATGTGGTACAAGATAATATTACATACTCTTGTAGTTATGGTATTAGAGATACTAGCATAAGCACTCAGACAAGAAAAATTAAAAAGGCATCCAAATAGGAAAGGAAGAAGTGACTTTATTTACTCGTGGTATTATTCTATGTGTAGAAATGCCCTAAAATTCCACCAAAAATTATTAGAATAAATACTGTAATAAGCTTGCAAAGGTTCTTAATCAATGTATAAAAATCAGTTGCTTTAAAAAAAGAAATATTTATTTTACTTAAAAGACTTATAAAGAATTGGGGGCAAGGGGAGACAGAGAAAGCTTCCATCTCTTGATTCACTTCTCAAGTGGCTGCAACAGCCAGAGATGGGCAGCACTAAACTGGGAACCAGGAACTTTTTCCAGGCCCTTCACATGAGTAGAGGGACCCAAAGCTTGGGCCATCCTTTGCTGCTTTCCCAGGCCATTAGCAGGAAGATGGATGGCAAGTGGAGCATCTGGGATTAGAAGCAAAACAATTACGGGATGCCAAAGCTGCAGTTGGAGGATTACTACTAATTCAACCACTAGTTGCATTTTTATCAATGAATAATAACCTAGCCAAAAGGGAGATCAAGAAAATAATTCCACTTATGCTGGCATCCCGTATGGGCATCAGTTCACATCCTCGCTGCTCCAGTTCCCTCCAGTCTAGCTTGCTGATGGCCTGGGAAAAAGCAGCAGAGTATGGCACAAGTGTTCGGATCCCTGTTTCCCTGTGGGAAACTCAAAGTTCCTCCTCCTGGGTTGATTATGACCTATTCCTGGCTGTGTGGCCATCTGGTAAGTTTACCAGCAGGTGGAAGATTTTCTTTTTCTCTGTTTCTCTCTGTTGTTCATTATCTCCTTGTCTCTGTATCTCTCCCTCGTATCTCTACCTTTCAAATAAATAAATAGTTTTTAAAATGTTTTAGAAAGAATTAGAAGCAAATAATCCTGAAACATGTAGTCTTGAAAAACCTTGAATGGCCAAAGCAATTCTACAGAGTTGGTTTGTGGAGAACACTATTTAATGTAATTGTATTGTATTCAGTTTCTTTGCCAAAATCATAGATTTTAGTTGCCCTTGCTACGTACACACTGAAGTTGGAAATAATGTGAGATGAAAAATATGCCAATTTACTTCATTATAACCTTTTTGCTACTTATAGTATAACATCATTTATATCATTTTACATGTAGTAAAATTCATCTTTAAGTTAATTTTTTAAAAAGGCTAATATTGAGTATGAATGAAATTCTACAGAGATGATTTAGATCATTGAAAGAAAATTTGGAACTGAAGTTACAATAAATACATAGAAAATTTAGCGAAGGAAAAAAGTTTTTTTTTTTAAGCTACCAAGGAAAACAAAATATACAGGAATGCAATTGTAATTGAAGTAAAGAAATGATGGAAATACGAATGGCAGGAAGGGACTTGTCTTGTGAAGCAGAGGTGGAAAACATACAAATAACCTGAACAGCCAGAGGGAAGACTACAGAGTCATCTTGTATAGTGTGAAGTCAATAGACACTATTAGCACCAAAAAACGAATCAAGTGCAACAACAAAGACATGCTGTTTAGTGGCCTGGACACAGATGTCGAGAGCATGCACTAAGGACCTTGGTGAACTGCTGAGCTGCTGACTCTTTCAGCTCATATGCTTATGGTGAACATTACTAGTCTCAAATGGAATCACTCATTTCAGAACTTAACCAACGGGGCCAATAAAGAGGAACTCTGTAGCTCACATGTCTGTGAGAAGAATAGCCAAGGAATTCCCCCAAACCACAGTATCGTAGATAAGTCACTGGTACAAGGACACTGGCCCGTGCACAGCTGTCCTCCACCAGTGCATAAATGCCCACTGCTACAGAAAGCCCCTAGAATTGTCTCCAGGTGTGCAGGAATATAGAGAATTGGAAAGATGCTGCTGTTGAATATGAAGAAAAAAGTAAAACGAATATAGAGCTTCTCTTTACAATTAATACATAAGGAACTTTTATTGTGCTTTTTTTTTTAAGTTGATGGTACACAGAGGAAAACAATGGGGGAAAATAAAAGAGGTAGTGTGCTGATATGCATGGAGTTTGCAATTAATTACCTTTGGACAAATGTATTTTTGCCATTAAAATATAACCATGAACACGGAAAATAAATAATGGCATATAAATATCAAAGATGTTTAGACTTTGAAATGGATTATATCCTTTTAACTTTTTTTTAAAGAAAAGTTTATATTTGTTGGAAAGGCAGATGTATGGAGAAAGAGCTTCCATCTGCTGGTTCACTCCCCAAGTGGCCCATCTGAAGCCAGGAGCTTCTTCCTGGTCTCCTGTGTGAAAGCAGGGTCCCAGTGCTTTGGGCCATTCTCTGCTGCTTCCCCTGGCCACAGGCAGGGAGCTGGATGGGAACTGCAGCAGCCAGGACAGGAACTGGCATTGATATGGGATCTTGGTGCATGCAGGACAAGGACTTAACCACTAGGTCATTACACTGGGCTTACGTATACCTTTTTTGTAGTCATCATATGTAGTTCATTGAGCTTTCCGGAGATTTACTTGTCATTTTACATCTTAATCATATATCTATCTGCAAGGGTTCTTCCAAAAATCCTGTACAGTGGATTTAAAAGATGTGTATTTTGGTGCAAAGGAATTTCTGTTTCCATGGATGGTTTTTTTTTTTAGAGAAGGTGTTTTCCAGAAACTGAAAAATTCCCATGTGCATAAGATTCAGGATAATCTTGCACCAAAAGTAAATATCTTTTCATTCCATTTTCCATGAACTTTTTAAGTGGTATTGTGTATTAAGCCAATTCAATTCTTTTTGAGGGGGCAGGTAAATACTTCAGAATCTTGTCTCAATGAAAAACCAGAAAATCTGCAGCGTACACAGTCCGTAAATGATTCCGTTCTCTCGCTTAGCTCTTGTCTCTAAAGAGCTAAATGAAGATGGGGACAGTGGAGGGGCAGGGGGATAAGAGACTGGGCTGTGAGGACAGGTTCCTGAGGTTAAACAGAGAGCCCTGAGCCCTGGGCTCCTGAGGAGGATGAGGATGAATGAAAGAACAGCAATACTTGAGCCCACAGATGCCTGCGAGCTTTGTGCACTTAGCTGAAGCATTGTTTGTACTGTGTGGACATCTTTTCACCAGATGAAATGAATGTGGTTGATAATTTCATAGCATGAATTATGTAGAGCTAGGGTTGGTGGGCATAGGGGAAAGCCCAGCTTACTTGCTACATGTCTCGGCTCCCTCGCCTACCTGCTGGTGCAGTGGCCTAGTCTTTGGAAGAACACAGAAGTCATTCCTTCTCTGCAAAACATGCCTGCGGCCTGGCCTCCTCCCTAGACCACTATTCCTCAGCCTCTGCTCCCTCCCATCACAAACAAGACCCCTTCCTGCCTGTGACTGAAAAATAGGTTTTGGCAATGGGCCAACTTTAGAAATTTTTCATTCACTGGTTATCTCTGTAGTAACCTCACCCTACAACCTAAAAGACCATCAACTGATTTCTGAAGTGATGTCAAGACAGGTTGTGTATTATATCATCTTCTGGTTATCAAATAAAGACTCTTTTGTCATAAAGGCCAAAAATAAACAAGAAAATATGTATGCTTAAAATATGGAACAAAAATAAGACAATTTTTGACATAGTAGTTGAGGATAAGATAGGTCAAAAAGCCCAGCCACCCCTGAAATGAATTTGAGACTTGTTATTGGCATGATGCAGCAGCGAGAGATACCAATGATGGTTGCATGGATGATAGAAATGGTTTATTTTTTTTTTACAGTAGGTACTAAATTAGATGTAGAAAGCAAGGGAGTTATCAAGCCTACATTGTCATGTCTGACCTCCGTGGTCCCAGCCGAGGAATCATAATAAAAACGAGATGTGGGCTTATCTAGAGATTCAGTAATAACTGGCACAAGACTATTTTTGAGCTTTCCCAATGAGGTGATCCTCAGGGTTATTTGGGGTCATGACATGAAATGCATTCGTTTTGATCAGTTTTTAGGACTGTGTAGTGGCTTATCCATGGGTCAGAGAAATTTTGTTTTCTCCATTCTTTTCTCATCTCTTTCCCCCTTGAGGGCCGTGCAGATTATCCCCTAGAAACTAGCGTGCGGCTCCAGTGCTGATAGAGTTCATATAGATCCAGGCTCTGCGGAGCTTGGCTTTCATCCTGTCCTCACAGACTGCTCACACATGCAAGAGGTGGTTAGTGACAATCCAGAAGAACTCCTACACAGAACTCTCGAGTACTGATTAGCAAAACCCATACTGCTTTTATTTTTTCCAGTTGGGAAATCTTATTTCTTTACAGTTAACATCTCTAATAGGACTTCTATTTTTACCTTGAGTTTAATTGTATTATTTGGCCTTACTAAATTACCTTGTAGCAATCAAGCATCATTAAAATGTATAAATTTGTTAAATAAAGCCTCACACTTCCCACTCCGTTAATTTTCATGAAGACTGTAACACAAAACTTTGAAGACAGAAATAAGAACAGTTTGGGTTGCAGCAGATTTGTGGTCTCACACTCTCCACTGGGTTGTAAGGATATGGCCAACTTTTAGCACCAAAGTTGCTAATCTTTCAAAGTCATCACTGTAGAATAGCTATCTTTTTATATGTCCAAGGGGTAATTTGTGTTTTAGGAAAACAGTGACGTCTGTAAGCTGGGGTACCATTTCTATTCATGTGTTGATCTAGAAATACTAAATACTCAAAACTAAAGTCCAGTGGAAAACAAATTTCAACTTCCAGAATGCTTATAGTTATCATCGTGAGGTACTATTTATAACTATAAAAATAATTTATAGAGCATAAAATTTGCATTTGATTTAGTAATCTATTTAAGAACTATGAGCAGGTCATTCATCCACATAGCTACTTGGAGAACAGTATTAATAATAATTTTGGAGTCATCCAACCAGTACCTAAGCACTTACCGTATGCCTGGTTGCTAGTTAAGTATGCAATTGCTTGTCATCCCGCACTCGCCTTGAAGCTGTGCCGAGTCCAGTGGCCTCACTGCCTCTCCTCCTTGCTTTCTCTCACTGGTGCGATGCCTGCAGCATGATGGGTGTGCAGTAGAAGTGTCGACTGGACATGTCATCCAGTTAATCACGTAAGCTTTAATCTGTAGCAAATGGATTGTAGGCATAGAGAGGGAGAGTAGAGATGGGAAAACAGGCTGGGAGGCTTTGAACAGGGATGGAAACAATAGCCAAGAATCAGTCCCCCGATGCTCAGTGCTGTGGCGTTCAGGTTAGCGTAAGGGGAGTGGAGGGAGTGAGAGTCTGCAAGGGGAAGCTGAGGTTACTGACAAGACAGAAATTAAGGTGCTGTGCCATGAATTGAGAGCCTAGAGGAAACAGATGACCTGGGTGGATAGTTGAAGGAACGAGAAGACTCTATGAATGTGAACCAAAAGGGTTGTAGGATTAAAGGGATGGAAAATATTTACTGAGCATCTTCCTATGTCAGACACCTTTATTTTTCTACCTGTTAAGATTATTGTAATAATATGGGGGAAATCATGTGGGAGGAAAACATCCCAGAGTGTATGGAATTGTATCATAAAATTCAAAATAAAACAGAAAGGAAAACATTTTTAAGATTATTTTATTTGAAAGGCAGAATAACAAATAGAAGACTAAACAGGTTTTCCATGTGCTGTTTTGCCTTCTGAATGTCGGCAGTAATGGAGCTGGGCTGGACTAAAGCCAGAAACCAGGAACACTGCGTCTCCTATGTGAGTGACAGGGACCCAAGTACTGAGGCCACCTGCTGCCGCCTTCCCAGGCACATTAGCAAGCAGCTGTACCAGAAGTAGAAGAGCAGTCAGAACTGAAACCTGTGCTCATATAGGGTGCTGGAGTTGAGAGGCAGTGGTGTAATCCACTGTGCTACAGCTCTAGGCACTTTCATGTAGAATTGCAGAGGGAATGGGGTAGTGTCCCCATCATGGCAACATTCTTTCTTTCCTTGAGGAGGAGTTGACACATCTTGAATGTGGTGGACAGATCTATTTGGGGAATCCAGGAAGAGAGAATCATCACTCAGTTGCTTTTTAGAAATGAATGAAGTACATTGTGATGGTGATGGATACATTATAGGCAAAGAGAGAAAGATTGGCAAGATGTAGAGTCAGGAGAATTCAGGGCCCCTTAGGAATGAAATACTGGTTCCAGCAGGAAGAGTGAGATGCAGTCTTGAAATGGGATTCGCTGAGCAGTAAGGAGCCCTTGGGCTTTCTGAAGAGGAGAGTGATGGTAGGTGACCTTAGATGGTGATGGTACCGTATCTACTCTGCTTTCCACTCAGTAGAGGGGTAGGTTAGGCAATTAAACATCAAAGTAATTCAATCAGGATTTCTGGGCCTGAGACACAGGAGTCCATATTAATTAAATCCCCAGATTCCAGTGTTCAGCCAAAGTTGCAAGTCTGTGATTTAGAGCCAGGTTTGGCAAACTCCAGAAAGGAGGAGGGTAGTAAATCTTTTCAGCTCTCTGGGCCGGAGGGTCTGTGTTGCAGCCGATCAGCTCTGCTGCGATAGCCCAGCAGCAGCGAGAGACGGCTGTGTGGCTGTGCTCCAGTCACTCCTGATGTATGGGACTTGAACTTCATGGGATTTGCACATATCATAAATATTCCGCTTCTTTCCCAGCCATGTAAAACAAATGCAGACTGTACAAATGTAGTCAGCTGGCTGCATTTGGGCCACAGACAATATTTAGGTGATCTTCGAGAGAGGGGGAGAAGATTGAGGCCAGGGAGGCAGATGTGACTGTCATCATCCCAACAAGAGGCCAGGGCAATGCTCTGTTGAGGTCAGCCTGAAGGACAAGGTGAGGGTTTGTGATGCTGAATTCATGTTCAGAGCATACCCTGCTCTGTGCGGGACATGTGAGCACCCGTACAGGACCATACCAGGGGTACCAGAGCAAACTGTTACATGCTGTTTGGCGCTCAGAGCCCTTTGACCTTAAGCTACACAGAGATTTACCTTAGCAGAGAGGCTGTTTCTGTCCCACTTGTGATGGCTGCTCATTTTGGCCCTATGCGATAACTACAAATTAACCCAAGTCTCCTGCCTTCCTTGTGTGCTGCCCATACCTTAGTAGCCAAAAAATAACCTTTATTTGAAAGCAAACATTCTCTTTGGAAAACAGAATCACCGTTCTGGGAGATGATACGACTACTTATGTTTTATCAAATCCCATATTCCTGAATGAATGCAAAATTCTCTGCGTTTCCTACCAGCATTTGTTGCCTAGTTAAGGACCTACCAGCTAAACGGTGTCTGCCCCTCTACCACCCCTCTCATTGCCTCCAGCAAAAATGAAAATAGTGCTCATGCGTTCTTTCCTCTAATGTTATTTTAAAATGTATAAGGTTGAAAAAGTGTTTCACACTGATTTCTCCTATGCTTTGAAATGAGCTGTGTGCTTCCACACATACCTGGTTGTTATATTTTGATGCCAATCAGATAGATAAACAACTTATCTTTTCTTTCTTTTCTTTTTTTCTTTCTTTCTTTCTTTCTTTCTTTCTTTCTTTCTTTCTTTCTTTCTTTCTTTCTCTCTTTTTCCTACTTTCCTTTTCTTTTCTCTCTCTCCTTTTTTTCTCTCTCCCTTCTTCTTTCTCTATTTAAAAGGAAGAGAGAGACAGACAGACACAGGTACACAGAGCTATCTTACCCCTGGCTCATTTTCCAAATTCCTGCAACAGCCAAGACTAGTCTGGACCAAAGCCAGGAGCTAGGAACTCCATCAGGGTCTCCCGTGTAGATGGTAGGGAATCCCAAAGTGGGCATAGCAGAAAGCTAAAATTGAGAGAACTCCTACCCAAATACAAGCACTCCAGTATGGACACAGGAGTCCCCAATAGCTTCTTACCCACAGCATCCAACTCCTCCCTTAGCTGTTCTCGGACTCTGTTACAAGTGTACTGTTCTAAGTCCTGTAAGACATGCCTGCCCTGTGTGCTGTGCAGCAGACAAAGGAGAAACTAAAGAAGCTAAGTGCGACTATATGAAGGGATGGAAGTCCAAGGATACAATTAGTGACCTTTATTGTCATCTCAGTTGTTTTGCAGATCTTAGCACAGTAAGGGATAAAAATATATTGGCAAGAACAGCTGTGTTTTCCTTTCCTTTTGCAAGGACATTAATGAAAACATTCTTTCTCATAGAAGAATGGGGAAGTATTAGACATATGTGCCTCACAAAGGAAATTTAGATTAGATCTTTAGATTACCTATTTCCCTGTGTATTTGGGGATACTTCTTGACTGCCAAGCATATTTCACATCAAGAGTTTTTCACCAGATTTCGAGGTTCATGTCCAAATTCCCAAGATCTTTTCCCCATCTCACTGATTTTTTGCAGAGTGTTTCCTACCGCCTTTGGGATATTATCAAAATATGGATAGCTTAAACATGAGATTGTGACAGAATACAAATGTTGTCAAAGGTTTTTAATTAAGCCTATGATATTTTGGACATTAGTAACAACAAATGCAGTTGGGTTATTAAATGGGCTTCACACTTATTTTTTGGAAGCACTCACCAGATACATAGCAGCAGCCTGTCCTGCGGCCAAAGTCTCAATGTGCCCATAAGCATTCCTGCCTGAGTAGTCCATTTCTAAGTAAAAGAGGAGGTCAGGAAATATGGCCAAGTTCCAGGCATAATAGCAAGATTGGAAATGAAAAACCTGACACAATTCAGAACACCAAGTGTCCGTTACTAAAAGCGGCACCAAGGTCAACAGTGGTGAAACTCCAGGGGTCATCTCTGTCAGGGTATTCCACCTTTGGCCACACATGGGAAATACCCAAGAGCTTTTAAATAATACATGAGCCCAGGTCCTAGAAGGCCAATGAAATCAGAGTCACTGGGGACTAAGACTGGAGCATGGGTATATTTTAAAATTCCCCAGTAATTCTGAAGTCCACCAGGATTTAGAATCACAGGCCTACTGCACTTGTCTCAGGGTCAGAAAGCTGTGGCTTGTCAGGATTTTTGCCTCCATCTTCTGTCATCTTCCCACCTCCCTCACTGTATATACGTCCTCTGTGAGCCCATTTCCTGCCCCATTGTAAGTTAGATCATTGTTTAGGTCCTAACCCCAGAACTGTGGGTCATATCCCTCTTCTGAGGACTATTTACTGCTCTGGTACATACTTATCATATCTCTAAGTGTCCAACAGCCAGAACGTTGAAACCTGGCTTCCCCCAGCCCTCCCCGCCCCGCTCCCCACCAAGTCCCCAAACCTGCTGCTCAATCCAGATGACCTGTATCATCAAAGAGGCCTTCTGTTCCTACAGCGAGCTGCTTCAGAAAGGTCACTGCTCTGCCCTTCCTTCATGGACTCTAGAGTCATCAGTCATGACCTGCTGTCCGTCCTGCCTCTTGGCTCTTAAGAATTCTCTGTTGCCCTCTCCCACTGCCTCTGTCTTCATTAGGGATGTTACTTTTTTTTTTCCTGATTGACTGTATCAGCCACTCATACCATCTTGTGCCTCTAGCTTTGTTCCCACATTAATTCTGTCTTTAACATTGGGATGCTATATGTGAAAGAGAAACTTGGTCAAATTCCTTGTAATCATGTGCTCTCAGAGTTAGGTTTTCCTTTCAACAAGGTCCCTTCCTTTTCCCTCTGTCTTCACACAGCCATGCCCTACCTGTTTCCTTGCAATCCTTACATGGCTGCCATTTATCTGTAGACTTTGGTGCTTTAGTTCCTGCTTTTTGTTTTTTTTAATCAAAGATTTAACTCTCCAATAAGCTTTATTTTTCCTGCTTCAACCAATTGCTGTCACGTTGCACACCAGATTTCATAGGCTTACCATGGCCCACTCCCTGACCTTGAACCTGCCCTGCACTACAAAATAGGCAATCCCAAGATAAACGGTAGACCTGCCCTTAACGGCAAGCCACATTCTTGGTGGTTAATGCCTTCACTTACCTCCTAAGGCTTTCTAGCTACTTTACTTTTTGTCCCTGACTTGAGGGTCCCTTACAACTTCTTGCCAAGCGCAGGTACTCAATTGTGATTCTCCCAGTTTCTGACCAGTTCTCCAAGGACCCCTGGACACTCAGTCACTTGCTTTTGTCTTGTACCCTCTGGCTGCTGTCAACTCTTTCTTTGCCTTAGATTATGGTTCTCTGCCTTCTGCACACAGTGTTTGTCCCTGGCGTGTAGTTAACTGCCAAGTCCTTGATCCCTAACTTTTATGACCTGGAGTTGGACTCCAGCCTCTTTGGGAATGTTTTGAGAGACTAGCCTTC